TGCCGCCCGCCGCCCGCCGAGCCGCCTATATATCTGGGCCCCGAGCTCGGGGCGTGGCTGGGCATTTAAATGAGCGCCCAATCGAGGGGCGGGGGCGGGCTCAGGTCGCGCGCCCCGCTAGTGCAGTGGTGATGCTGGAGGTCTGGTCCCCCAGCCTGCGCGGCAGGTGGGGTGTGATGTGGAAGGAGCGAGGCGGGTTCTTGGCGGGCTGGGCAGAGGGGCGCTTTGCTGGAGGGAAGGGGAGCGAGCAAACATCCCCTCCTCTCACGGCCCGCCTCTCGGCGCCGGGAGTAGCCCCATTGCCTCGGTCCTGCCCTGGCAGCCTCCCCCTAGAACTCTTGAAGGGCTAACTCATCACATGCTGGTCGTGAGTTATGCTCCAGAGAATGTGGTCATCGAAGCTGCAGGGCCCCTCGCTAGGATCTGCACCCCTCAGGCCCGGAGACAGGTGCGAGGTCCCGCCCACTCCCCTGCGGGCGTGCCTGAGCCAGCCTGGGGGTCTGACCACATGTTGGATCGTTCTGGTCAGACCGGTGAGGCGAGGCCCCATCCTCATCCCTACGCTCAGTCCTTGGTGGCCAGTCATGCTGAGCCCCCACAGACAAGCTCACTCTTGGTCCCTCATGCCCTCAGCTTGGGCACTTTGAAGGTGGTCCTGCGACCTTGAAGGGCATCTTCATCTCCCTTTGACAGCTGAGGAGCCTGGGGCTCAAAGATGTTGTTATACTCTGTCTAACTTGTCCGGTGCTCTCCCCCCCACACCTGCTCCCCTACATCAGGACTCCCCATGAAGCAGGCAGAGGTACCCCAGGAGGGGGATCAACAAACCTTCCTGAAGAGGAGGGGTAGGACATCACCAAGGCTCCCTCCAAGCCTGGACAGGCCATGGGAACCCCAGAGGCCTGGCTGGCCCCAGATGTGTGTATGTGCCGCTGCCTGGGGTGAAGGGGTTGTGTGTGTTGTCACTGTGCAGCAGGAAGGGGATGGGAACTGGAGGAAGCAAAGTGCTACAAAAGCAAGGCTGTCTCCTGGACAGCTAGCTCAGCCTAGTGTCCATCTTCCCTCCAACCTACAGTGGGTAAGGCCTCCTGAGAGGACCGAGGTTCTCAGGGATGGGCATACCCCCCCCCCCGCATTCTCCTCCCCTCACACACACACCTGAGAAATCAGGAACTCTAACCACAGAGCAGGCAACATGGGGGTGGAGAGATAGGCTGAGGTGGCTTCTACATTCAGCACTTACTCTTATATCCTCCATCCCCACCCACAATTGGATACACAACACTCTCAGCTTCATTAGCACCCTCCCATTTTATAGTCTGGGACACTGAGGTTCAAAAAAGGAAAGTGACATGTTCAAGGGCACACAGCACATACCAGTAGCTGAGGGTGAGAAAGAGCCAAGAGACCTGCTACAATGGGCTGAAGGCTGTAAGGAAACCCCTGGAAGAATTCTCTGTTGAGATCTAGGGCCGCTTGGTCAGAGTGGGAAGCAAGAAGAACTAGCTTTGGGGTGGTTGGGGGGACACCAGGCCCAGCTGCAGCTCTCATATGACAGTGACTTCTCTACCCACTGCCAAAGGGATGGACGTGGTGACCTGCATCTCTGTGTTGGCCACAATAGGGAACCCACAATGCTGCCAGGAGCTACCCACCTGAGCTGGTAGGGCTTAGCTGGGGTGTGGGTGAGTTGAGGAGAAGTTGAGGTCAGAGGTTAAGAGCAGATCCCAAGGCTCCTGACTTCCAGGCACTGCCCTTCAGGGGATGAGAGGCAAATTGCTTGGATAATCCCAGGAGGAGAAAGGAGCATCAGAGCTAAAGGACCCTGAGTCCCCAGATCCTCAGAAGGAGCCTGGTCCACAGGGAGCCCCTGCATTATCCATCGGACGTTGCTGGAGGCTGCAGGCAGGGGGATGCATGGGAGCCTAGTCCCTCAGCAAATCTAGGTCCCAGCAGAATCTGGCTTCTGGAAAAAGGAAGAGGTTTAGAGGATGCTGCATGAGTGAGGGGGTGGGTACAGCAGCCCCCACTGCCTCCTCTGTCCACACTGCTGCTCCTTCCTCCCCAGCTGCTGCCAGCCCAAACAATGTGTCCATTGTTCTGCGTCTCCAGGGGCCTGTGTGCAACTGTGTGTGTCTGTTTCTCTCTGTGTGTGACTGTGTATTGCTCTGTATCTGTCTGTGTGTGAGAGACTTTGTGACTCTGCATGTGTGTGTGACCAGGTGTGTACAGCTGTGGTTGTGTGAGTCTGCATCCTTGTGTGACTGTGTGTATTTAGGGTGACTCTTGGTGACTCTGAGACTTTCTGGGTGTGTGCTTGTCTGTCCTTGAGATTGCATGTTGCTGACTATTGTCTGACTGTGACTGGGTGTATTCCTATGAGTGTGTGTGGCTGTGTAGAGGATGTCTATGAGTGTGTGGACAAAAGAGTGAATACTTTGTATGTGTGCTCATGGGTGCTGGGTGTGCTTCAGTGGGTCCCTGAGGCTGTGGTGGTCAGAATCTTTGAGGTGTGAACTTCGGCCAGGAAGAGTGGCAGGGAAAGGAGGAATGGGAAAACAGGGTGACTCCAGGATACATGGGGGAAGGGAAGCTGCAGAGACTAGAAACCCCATGTTTTCATACATCCCCCATCTGTTCCCAGCTCTGGTAAGGCTCAGCCCCCGGCCCTGGTCCGAGAAGCTCCTAGTCCCCATGGACAGAAAGGAATGAATTTCCCTGGCAGGAAGCCTGGGACCTCAGAGAGATGTAGGGTGGGGCTGAAGATGGAGGAGGGCAGCAGAGAACACTGTCCCATAAAGGAGGCTGGAGGGCATTTTGGGATCTCTGAGGGGGGCCCTGTGGTGGGGATCAGATCAGATGCCAGGTGAGGTGGGAGTAAGCACTACCTAGTCAGTGATGGAGGATGGGCCTTCCTAGTCAGGAAAGGCCTAGAGATGGGGGAAGACATCAGCGAGTGGCTAGGTCCCCGTGGAGGCCTCAGGAATGGTGAGTTGGCACAGCTCAGGTGGGTCTGGTGTGGGAAGGAGAGAGGCTGGTTCCTGGGCCAGCTGGGCAGAGGGGTGTTCCCAGCCCCAGGGTCCCTGTCTCCTTCCAGGAACATCCTGGACCCAGAGACCTTAGTTCTAGCCCCAGGTCTGCCTCTTCCTGCTCTGTAATTGTGAGCCAGTCCCCTCTCCTCTTGGGCCTCAGTTTGCTTATCAGTACAGTGAGAGGTTGGGCTCTGATTCAAACTCACAAAGACTGGAATTCCTTCTGCTCTCACCAAGGCAGAGTGTCAACTGTGAGTCACACAGGCCCTGCTCACAGGGGTTTCCCATTGAGGGAAGAGACAGGCAATGCCTAAAGGGGAGACGAAAGACCAGACGAGGGTCGTGGGCGGCGTGGAGAGGGGGCATGTGGGTGGGCCAGGGGATGGAGGAAGAGCTTAGAGCAGGACAAAGGGAGAACAGCAAATGGCTTGTGTGAGGACGTGGATGGAGGGAAAGGCCTAGTCCGGAGCAAAGTTCAGGAGACAGGCTCCCTAGGATTCGGCGACTGGCGGGGTAAAGGGGTTGGTTGAGTGGGGAGAAGGAAGTGATGAAGTTGTTGCCCACATTTCTGTTTGGGGGTGACAGCTGGCAAAGTGAATTCTTTGACTGAGACAAGGCATCGGAGGAAAAAAATAATTGGGAGGGGTTTGCTGAATCTAGACTTGTTGAGTGTGAGGTCCAGAGGACACTCGGGGAGATGACCAGGACACTTCAGCACATAGACATGAGATCACAAAGGCCAGGGCCCAGCCTGACTAGAGACCATCCAGGGACAACCGACAGAAGGTTTTAAGTCAGAACTGACCCCACAAAATCTGGGCCTCCGATCACTGCTTTTAACAGGAGCCACACAACACATGAGGTCACCCAGAAAGTACCAGGGCAGTAAGGAGCACTGCCATTGGAGGGGCAGGCAGCAGGAGATGACCCCAGAAAGGAGCCGGGGAGGGAGCCAGCAGAGAGGGGGAGGGAAAACCCCAGAGGACAGAATCATGGAGACCTTGGACCACTGAGGAGATCTTTAATACTGACATGGCGCTTAACAAGGCAGGAATGGCCAGCAGCAATAATAACCAAAGCTGCTAGCACTGATTACATGCTGCTTCCCATACATTCCTTCCAACCAGTGAGATATGTAGCATCTTTGTTTCCATTTACAGAGGAGGAAACCGAAGCCCCGAGGAGGAGAGTTTATGTGAGCAGAAGCGGGGGAGGTCAGGACTAGCAGAAAGTGGTTTTCAGAAGCTCTGCGGAGCAGGGCAATGCTAAGTTCAGATGGAGGCATCCACAGGGGTTCTGATGCTTTGGGTTTGGGAGGAGCAGTCAGATGTCGGCAAGGCAGTCACAGGGCTGGCGGCCGGTGACGTGAGCTCTGGCATCCTGGGTATGCTAGGTTCTGACAAGGTAGTCAGGAGGACGCAGGCCTGCAGCCTCGCTGCCAATCACTTAGCCTTGAACCTGGTCTAGATACTGAGCTACTTCAGGGCCTTTATTGGGACCCACCATGCAACCAGTCACCAAATCACAGGGACAGGGATTCTGAAAGTTTCCTTTCAGAATTTTAGGCAGCCCAGACCTAAAAGTATCATTTTTCAATTTTTCAATTAGAATTGACATACATTATTATATTGATTTCAGGTATACACCCCAGTTATTAGACAAAACTTAGTAAGTTACTAGACAGAACTTACTAAGTGATCATCCCAATACTCCTTTCCTCCCTCTTCCCCTGGTCTCTGTGTGTGGTGG